CACACACACACACGCACACACAAACACAGCACCTGGAACATGGAAACATTTGTGCATGTGTGTGCACTAAGCCCACATACTTACACCCACACATACATACAAACCTGCTAAATAAACACTGGCATGAACAGACACACACTCTCTAATGAGAGACCACAGACAGTGAAGCATCTAATTAAGATCCTGGACTTTGCAGAAATGTGCCGACTGCCTTTTTAGTCTCCATGTTTGAAACAGGCAAATGGGTATTATAAAAATGTCAGCTCTTCCCCTCCCACTGTTTGTTTTTCTTAGCACTGGTTTTACGTCTACTATTCAGTCATTGATTATTTTGCTAAAGAGATTTTCATATTTTCCTTTTCATTTTACCATTGTGTCAGGTTGTGCGAGAATATTTTAACTATATTAGAGATTCGAAAGAACACTGGACCTTGTTCACCAATACCTTCCTAAGTCTTTCCTTAAATGTGCTCTTACACAAGGTCCAGAGAAAAGTCTACATCATGTTCTTAAATTACAGACCCCTTCACACCTTTGTTCTTACAGTGATGAATCCCATTGTCCTCCTAAATTGAAATCACATGCCAGTTCCCATTTAGCATAAATAAAACGCCCCGCTAATCCCCATAAAAAAAGTCATAGGGCCGTATGTACACACAGGAACCTCACGCAGAAATTGAAAAGAAAAGCTGAGAAAGTCCAGAATGCCCAAACGAAAACCACAAGATGTTTGAACACCAGACTCCAAATGGAAGAAAAAAAAAAAACAGCCGTGGTTCTCAAGTGAAGGTACTGCTGCAGGAAGTGAACAGCAAACAAGCTGCCACATCTAGCAGCATCAGAAGTAAATATAAAATATCATACTCAAAAAAGATGGGATGCCATTACTCATTCAGTGATCACTGTACAAGGAAAAGGGCGCACACACAAAAAAGGTTTGATCTCAAATCCGAGACAAAACACAGTCAACCGCCATTAGATGAGTATCTGGACACAGACCTGGGGTCCGTGTCAGCTGTTTCATGTCTCAGAATCAGAGGGTAAGCTGGTGTTTCAGAATAAATAAAATCTGATGATTCATTTTATCTAAAAGCTGTCATTGCAAAACCATGGAACATGTGGCACATGTAAACACCAGTGTGTAAAACCTAAAGACAGCTGATTACTGCCTTGTGTTTATTTCTTGTCCTCTGTGGTCACTGCTGCTAAAATTCTGACCACACTTTTTCCACACCCTCACTGATCTGAGGTTATAAGAT